AAAAAAAAAAAAAAAAAAGGTAGAATTTGGAGGAAATGATTTCCCTTATATGTTCTAGAGAGATCAAATTTAGTGTGCCTCGTTGGGATGTTACTAAAAATGAAATTACAGAAGTTGAAATATACCGAGTCAGGATCTCATATTTACATTTTGTTTTCTCATTGAAAATGAAATATGTATTTTTAATTTCTTCACAGATTTGCACAAAGGGCAAAGTGCACATTTTTAAGTATCTGAGTATCCAAGCATGCCAGATTAAGACAACTGACTCCCTTTATCTCCACACCATGGAGAGGCCACATTTACATCAGCAGGTGGAAGACAGGTGAGTCAGTGACTTTGCTCAGTGCCCCTATTTAGAATTTGCTTAGACCAGGACCTTTCAGGTAACTAGCTTCAAAAATGTATTTGCTTCTGTCAACCAGTTTAAATTTGTAACTCAGAGTGTGAGAAACTATTGAAATAAGAAAGAGAAAATTGATGCTGTTGAGAACATTTTTGACATCTCTAATCTCCCCTGCCATCTCCTAATCAATAATCAATCCTTTCTGCATACATATGTATATACTTAAAAATAAAATCTGTAATGTAAATACGGGTTCTTTTTTTTAACTTAGAACTGTATCAAACTCAGATATGTCCTTTAAATAATTACTAATTTTGAATATATCTCCAGAACATTGTTAAGAACAACTATAGGCTTTATTTATTTATTTATTTATTTATTTTTGCCGGGCTGGGTTTGAACCCACCACCTCTGGCATATGGGGCCTGCGCCCTACTCCTTGAGCCATAGCCACCACCCTAGGCTTTATTTTTTAATTATCTTTTTAAAATGTGTGTGTAGCTTTTTGCCACTTCCTGTTTCTGATGAAAGTGTTAGAGCCCTTTCACAAGTCCTTAGGCTCTGGTGGCATATTTTAAGCCTTGAGCTTCCAGAAGACAAAATTCCCACACCAAACACACTTTAGAAATGCAAGTCCTTTTGGAGAATTCTTTACTGGAAGAATCTTTTCCTTCCCTTTTGCTAAACAAGGCAACTTACAATTTCAGACTGCCCTAATATTACTTTTATATAATGCTTAAAATATGTATCTATTATTTTATCGTTGAAAAGATCCTATCAAATGTATTTAATCACAGGTCGAAATTTTACAGAATTATTGAAAGTAGTGTTTCATAACATAAGAGGTAAAGGCAATTCTGAGGCTTATTGCTTTTTTATATGCTGGAATTATTAAAAAAAGAAAAACTTGTAATTGTTTTAAAGAAACAACTTGAGGTCTATGAGCAGGCCACTTGATTAGAGTGTAAATTCATGAAACCTTGAACATAAAGAATTTATCATGTACTATATTTAGACACTGCAAGTGTCTGATTTTCATTAGTTGTACTGAACTGGTTTGTTGCCTTATAATAGTAGTAAAACTTTGTAGAGCAAAGTCATTATTAGGATGTAAACTGTTCCATCTTGGTGTAAACTTTGTGACTTTAATTTTTTTCTAAATGGATTCAATATTGATGACATCTATCCCAGCAAGAAGGATTCTGATTCGGGAGTTGGAAGTGATAATGGAGATAAAAGATTATCTGCCACTGAGGTAAAGTTAGTGACCAGATTTCTTTTCTATTGTGTCTCCAAATATATCTCTCTCTGTTCATTGGAGTCCTTTCTAGTAAATGGCATTGAGGCATCTGCATGAGAGTACGTGATCATGTTTGTGAAAGCTATTTGAAATCTTTGAAGTATTCTATAAATATTAGCTGTTGTTAACTTATTCTGTACCATTAATATTTTGTAAATACCTTAATAGTAACTATCTTCTTCCTGTCCTACTCCCATACATTTTCTAGAATATTCCTGAGTGCTTCATAATTATGAAATGACCAATTAATGTGCAAGTGCCCCTGACGTACTTTTATGAATATGTGAGGTTTTAAGTGAGTGAGAAATTTAGGAAAAAGTTATTAATTTGGGTGTATAAATGCTAAGAAATCAAGCGTACTTAACATTTTAGCACTTTATGCATAAGATGTGCATTTATCAGTTCCTATAGGTTTTATAATAATAGTTGTGTTCCTGAAACTCTTAGCTTGTCTTCTGTTCAGATAATTGGATAAAAGTTGGTTGTTTGTAAACTAAGAGGGGTGCACACTAGAGCTTCCTATAGAGGTTATAAATAACTCTGTGTTAACACATTGATTACTCACATCCAAGGCTGTTGGTTTCCCCCAAATTTTGCCCTAATATTTCATGAAGTGGAGCTTCTTGACCCAGAAAACTGAAAAGCTGTGGTAAGGGAGGTATCAGGTATTCTCCCCTTTTTGAGGGAAGTTACTAAGTTTTTGTAATTACTGAGTTTTGGAACATTAAGTAAGTTGAAGTTGTTAATAGGCCAGTTACCCCAGTCTAAGGAGTTCATACTTTTACCATGTGTGACTCCAGGGAAAAGCCTTTTCCCAGTTCTCCTCGGGTCTTTGGGGATCATTAGGTAGCTAATTTGAATTTGTTTTATAAAAAATACTTTATAAAGCAGTGTATTCAAAAAATAGTCCACATAATAGGATTCCTTAAAATCTTTTGAATATAGAATATTTTGAAAGGAAGACAAGTTAGTGGGCAGAAAAAAGGCCACTGTCAGTAGAAAAAAATGACGCCTAAGACGCCACATGAATAGTTTACCATGGTTCAGTGGGAGTCAGAGCTGGGGGGCTACCAAACACGTTTCTTTATAAGTCGTATTTAAATTCATCTTCTTCAGCTTTATTAAAACTCTTTAAGTCCCCTCAAATAGACCATTGTTTCCGAAATTACTCACACTAAGCATATTTTCTATTAAATTAAAACAGACTCTGCTTTATCCTTTCTCTCTCTCCTAAGACTAATTGAGTTCATTAATAAAACATTATACAAAGAACTTCATTATCCCTTTGTTCTCACTTGGTATAAGCAGGATGCTAATATCGTTCTCAAAGGAGCCCAAGGATTTATCCTCTCCCTTTTAATTAGATGCATATCTTGGAATTTTGCTAAATGTTTAAGATGAGAGATGGACGGAAGAAGAAGGGAGAATAGAAAAGATTAGACTCAACAGAATCAAACTCAGGCATCTTCCTGGTGACTTTTTCCCATCTCATGTTATAAGCTCATTACCTCAGAATGCCTCCAAGAGATTTGCTTTTTTGGGAGGATAAAGGTTGTGAATGACCTTAGGTAGCTTTCTGTTTTGACTTGGGCAAAGAAGTGGGGTTCAGGGAGCAATCCTCCTTCTCTTTCTTTGGCTGTTGCCCTTGTCTGAATGATGTAGCATTTGCCACTAAGAAATTAAGAGTGCATTTCTCTCAAGATAAGCCAGAAAGTGTGAGGCTCTGTGAATATTTATTAAATGAATGAAATGCAGGCTTGTCTTCTATCTATTTCTAAACCATTTGTGCATGTGTCTAAATGTAAACCAGGACAAACTCTGCCAAGTCATAGCCTCAACAATTTGGGAGCAAGCCACAACCACCTGATATGTGGTTGGAAGAGTTCCTGATCCTTGAGAGTTGGGAAGCTGTTCATTAAATAGCAAACAGGAAAATAGAGACATAGGGAAAATTAATGAGGGGCCCATATTTCATTTGTGACAGAATTATAGATTTCCTGAAAAACTTCATCAGTTAGGGTGGAAGAGACCCCACAGGCCGAACAGTGTCCAATTATTAAACTGAAGCTTTATTCTGAAAATGGCACAGGACACATTCCTTTTAACTGCTAGTTATGTAGCACTTTCATGTAATTGATGCAGCTTCCTCAGCCTAAAGCGGAGAAATAAGCGGAAGCTTAATGTCACGCGTGAGACGCACTGTGAGTAAAGGAGGCATTGTCACAGAGGCTGACTCTCTGCTTTTGTGTCTAGCCATGTGATACTTTAAAGCAGTCTTGGTAAACAGCTTTATTGTCAGATCTCAGAATACCGTTACCGTTTAACGGACTTGACTTAGTGCTAACGTGATAGAATATTCATCATTATTCTCTTGTTATGGCAGGTATTACACAGTCCTTTTAATGCCCCGACTAGGCCACTTAGGTTAGAAAAAGATAAGTACTCGACAAGATGTCAGCTGAAAACATGTACAGAGAAGTGCAGAAGTGGTAGCTCCACAAAGTGGACACACCCATACCACTAACTCCAGTTCAAACAACAGAACTTTACTGGCCCCCTAGAAAGCTTCACCTGCACCCCAAGAGCGGCCAGTGTCCTGACTTCAAACGCCATGGGTCAGTTTTGCTGTTTTGCGCTTGCGGACGTGAAATTGTCGGTGAATGAAACGGTGCACTGTCTCGTTTTAGCCCTCTGATGAAGACACGGTCAGCCTCAACGTGCCAATGTCCAACATCGTGGAAGAAGAACAGATCACCAAGGAGGACTCGTGCCATCGCCTTAGCCCGGTGAAAGGTCCGAGAATGAAAAGTGTGGAGAAAGTGCTTGTTTTTCAGTTTCAAAGTTATGTTTAAAATGACACGTGCACAGATATGACAGCGATGACAGTTCATGTTTACGGAGCATTTCCTATGTACCAGACACTGTGATCATCTGGGAAAGTGATCTCATTTACAATTCAAAACTCTGAGGTGGATACTCAGATCATCTCCACTCATAGGAGAGAAAAACGGGGCTCAGAGAGTGTTAAGTAACTTGCTGTTGGTCATACAGCCAGTACCACTTACTACAGTAAGTAGTAGAGCTATTCTCATTTTGAAGATTTAAAGAAAATTCTCTAAATTCATTCTTGCTTAGAAAAAATTTTGATAAGGTAGATACATTAATTAGGAAAACTTTAGCTGTTACAACACATAAAATCCCCAAATCTCAGTGGCTTAATGCAAGTCCAAATTAAGTGCAAATGGGAGTTAGTGATTGATTGGCAGGCAAGTTTCCTCCAATTGTTGATTCAAGGACCCAGGCTCCTTTCATCTTTACCGCAGGGCTTCCCATGTTTCTGTGTCCATCTGTTTTAAGCCAGAAGAGGAAGAAAACTTCGAGGTTTGCTTGTCTGAGGACTTTTCGGGCTGTTGTTTGCAAGCTAGACCTTATTCATGGCCACATCTCAGTCTGTGTGAGGACATGTAGCTGAGGTGTGTGTCAGGAAGTTACTTTGGACAAGTAATTTAACCTTGATCCCCTCACTTGTATGTGAGGTGCTTAGGTTAGATAATCTCAAAGGTCCTTTTAGCTATAATAGTCTGTGACTCTTTAATAAACACTAAATGATCACTAAACACTCTTGGGCACCTTCAAAATCCTTGTAATATATTTCATATCTTATTGAAAAATACCTCATTAGAATACATTAAGCCGATATTTTGATTGCTCCTGTTTGCTCAATGACTTTGAAAGAAAATACCACAATTTAGTGCTTACTAATTGGTGGCATGGACTAATTCGTCTATGTACGAATGTAATTTAGACCTGCATCAATACACTAATTATCTCCCTAGTAGTTTGAATATGCTTTTATTAGTTTTGAGAGAGCTGTCTGAATCCACTTAAACTTTAGTGTTTGATTTCACTTCTTACATTTAGGTTTTTAAGTTTAGCAAACAGAAACTTAAGATTTCTGTTTACCTGAGGTTATGATCAGAACCATCCGTTGTCCAAAAATACAGCGGTATATGTTATATATAAATATAACTACCACTGTATTAATTCAGATAAACCATGTAACATTATGCTTGCATAGGAGGTAGTATTTTAGGCAGATTTTTTAAATAAAAGAATTACATAATTTGTTACAGGGCGGGGGTAGACATGGGGTGTCTGTTGGCCTGGAACACTTAAAGCAGCTGTTCTCAACCTACGCATCAGGACCCCTCTGTAACAATGAAATACATCGCAGCATTAGGAAGGTTGAGAACCACTGACTTAAAGGGTGGCCCTGCTGGGTCCTTTGTAGCCTGCAGATCAGCCAGAAGAGTTCCCCGTGGTGTTCTGTTGCCTTTCCTACATCTTCTGAACATACTCTAGGTGGATGCGGAGTCCCCGAGTCTGCTTTCACCTTAACACTACCTTTCTTCTAGTCTTTTCCTTTGTTGTTATGATTTGTCTGGTTTCCTCCCACAAGCTTTCTTGAGATTATTTGCTCCTTAAGGATGGACAGGAGTCAGATTTGACTGATTTTTTTTTTTTTAATTCCTAAAATGGTTAGCATAGTATCTACCCATTTAGTAGCTGCTCAACAAATAGTTGTTAAATTTTGCATTTGAGGCTCGGTGCCTGTGGCTCAAGTGGCTAAGGCGCCAGCCACATACACCTAAGGTGGCGGGTTTGAATCCAGCCTGGGCCGCCAAAACAACAATGATGGCTGCAACCAAAAAATAGCCTGGCTTTGTGGTGGGCGCCTGTGGTCCCAGCTACTTGGGAGGCGGAGATAAGAGACTCTCTTGAGCCCAGGAGTTGGAGGTTGCTGTGACCTGTGATGCCACAGCACTCTACCCAGGGGGACAGCTTGAGGCTCTGTCTCAAAAAAAAAAAAATTTTGCATTTGAAATACTTACACATATTATTGAGAGCATGAAAGCCATCTTTTATATTTTCTCTTCTTGATCCCTTAAAAAAGATGGGATTTCATTTTTTCCTGAGGAACTAAGCCATAAAGAGCCTTGACGTTTTAAGTTCCATTTGGTCCTTTCTGGGTTTTTGTTGTTATCTTTTTATCACGTCCTGCAGGGAAAAGAAAACATGGGTCATTTTTGTACTTTCTTAATAGGGAAGGGAGCAGATTGAAATAATTAGATGACATATTGGAGGTTCATCTGTGCTTGGTCTTCTTTTCATGAAATCATTCTACCTCTCTCTCTGTTTTCCTAATAGGGGAATTTCATCAGGAATTTCAACTGAAGGCTTCCCTTTTGGGTGACAACGGCAACTCAGGAGAAGAAAGAGACCAGTTTACTGATGGAGCAGATGGTCTCCATTCAGAATTTATGAACTATAAGGCAGGTTTTGAGGATCAATTAACTGTTTTACTCCTTTCTTTTGTTTGGCAACTTAGAATTTAAGTTCAAGGTTACCAGTCCATCACTTCGATATCCAACTTGCTGTAATTTCTGCCCTCGTCTTCAGACATCTCAAAGCTCCACTTTTCTGATGGAGGAGCTGGCCCCTGCTATGCACACCTCTCCATTTGTCTGGTTGTATATATGATTTTCTTTCACATTCAGAAATTGCTTGGCTTTTCACCAAGTGAAAAGTGCATCATACAAGGGCATCATACAAGTTATCAAACTCATTAGAATTACCATTATGACATAGTAACAGCTAAAATGAGCAGATATTCACATTCTTTTCATTATGTCCCAGGGGAATGCTTTTCTTGGGAATATATCCCTCAGTGTAAAGAGAAAAATAGAGACTTTTAAAATCTGGCAATGAGCCAGGCACAGTGGCTCACGCCTGTAATCCCAGCACGCTGAGAGGCTGAGCCAGGTGGATTGCTTGAGCTCAGGAATTCAAGACCAGCCTGAGCAAGAGCAAGACTCCATCTTCAAAAATAGCTGGGGGTTATGGCAGGTGCCTGTAGTCCCTGCTACTTAGGAGACTGAGGGCAAGAGCCTGCCTTGAGGCCAGGAATTTGATGTTGCTGTGAGCTATGGCACCATAGCACTCTACACTAGGGTAACAGAGTGAGACTGTGTCTCAAAAACAAATAAATACAAGTAAATAAATAAATAAATGAAATCCAGAAAAGGATAGCTTCCCCTTTTGACAAGATCACTCTGAGGCTGCTTAGTCCTGAACTGTTGCAGATGCCCTGAGGCTTTGAAGAGGCAAGTGAATCGCTATGTTGTCAGGCAAACCTTTGTTACAGCAGCAGAGGGAGGAGAGAAGCCCCTCACTGTAGCATCTGGTTAGGTTTCCACTTCACGGCAGGATTAGGTGCCATGGTATGTTTCTACCAGCCCCTTTGGTTCAGGTTGTGGCATCCCAGGAATCGTGAGGATTATTGTTTTGGCGACATTCAGATTCACTGAGGCTTGTGAGATGATCTCTGGGTTGCTACGTTGAAGCCAAGAGTGGGAGCTAAGTTCTCGTCCTTGTGTTTGGAGGCTGGTGTCTCAGTGGCTGGATGCAGCCTGTACTGACTTCTCTGGGCATCACCTTCAAGAAGATAAAACACATAAAAGCTGTTAGATGCAATTTGAGGCATCTTTCTGTTACGCTCTTTATACTTTTCCCCTGCAACTCACCATGCGCACACACACTCACACACACGTCTCTCCTCTCACACGCACCAGAATGCACATTCACGCGTGACTCGCAAGCTCCGGGGGTGGATCTGTCAGCCCAAGAAGGTGCTAGGAGGGCAATCGGGAACCCAGCTACACTTTACATTTCTGCCCATAAGTTAGAATTTCTGCTGTTGTCCAGATGCCAGGTTATTTTGTTTTGTTTTAATCTGTTTAATTGTGGAAAAGTACATATTACATGAAATATACCTCCTTAGCCATCTTTTAGGATGCAGTTCAGTCTGTGTTAAGTACATTTATATTGTTGTGCAACCAATCTCCAGCATTATTCTTACCTTGCAAAACTGAAACTCTGTACCATTCAGCGACCCCCCACTGCCTGTCCCACCAACACCTGGCAGTGACTGTTCTACCCTCTGTCTTGATGAATTTGATTACTCTGAGCACCTCACATGAGTGGAATCACACAGCATTTGTCTTTTTGTGAATGGCTTATTCCACTTAGCACAGTGCCCTTGAGGTTTACCTATGTGCACGGCAGACATGAGAATGCCCTTCTATTTAAGGCTGCGCAGTATTCTATTATGTGAACATTCCACATTTTATTTACACACTCATTCATGGATGGACATTTGGCTGCTGTGAATAACGCTGCCATGAACGTGGCCCAGGACAGGTTTGGACTCTTGGCTACTGAGTAGCCAGAGGATCTCAGGAAACCTATGTGTTCTGTCCACAGGCGAGGACGGACAACTGTGAAGAACTGTTACGGATAGAAGAGGACGCTCACTGGCAAGCCGAGGGCACGTGAGTGCAGGGCCTGGTTAGGAGCCCCCATCCCTGTAAAGTCCACTTTTCGGGCAGACTGGCACCTTGTCATGACAGAATTGTGATTGTGTTTTCTGTGGGCGAGTTGATATTCTTAGCTGATGATAAGAAGTTGCCACTTTGTCTCTGTCTGGTGTTTACTGTCCCTGGACTGGACAGCACAGTGCAAGACTTCCTGGTGAGCCTTGGCTTTATCCAATAGCAGGCCGCGGGTAGAAATGTGATTCAGAGAACTTGGCTAGAATTTCTAGATTTGAGATTCCCCTTTCCTCCCATTTGCGTGAAGAAGCCAACCATTGGACTTACGGTCAATTTTTGTACAATCTTCTCCTTCAAGATCTAAGAAAACTATATATATCTTATGCCGTGGTCCCAAGTCTAATTAATTGTCACACCTAACGTTTATTAAATACCATGTACCAGGCACTGTCCTAAGTACCTCACAGTCTATAGTTCATTTCATATTTATAATAATCCTAAGAGATAAATTCTGTTGATGCCCCCCATTTCACAGATGACAAAACTGAGGCACACAGTTTGATTATCTTGCCCCAGAGTCACAGAGGGTCAGCATTTGAACTCAAAACATCTCAAACCAGATGGATATTCTTTCTTCTCTATTGCCTCTAAGATTTATGGGCAAGATTATTGGGGGAAAGGATGAGTGATCTTATCAGGCAGTGAACCATTTCAGGGGAATTGAGTTTGGACCATGTAGCATGGTGTAAATTTTTGGTTCCCAGGATTTTGTTTTTCATGATCTAAGATGTAGGTAATTGACTTTCCCATCATACCTTGCTGGGCTTTTTCCTTTAGTGAGTATTTATCTCATTGTTAAACATTTACTTATGGAAAGTTATTGGCTTGTATTCTGTAGTAGGAAGAGCTTACTGTGATCAAATCTTTCTTGCCCTTTAAAAACACTGAAAGTTCCTCTCCAATCACTGCCTGTATTACCAGCTACTGTTGGATATACAGGGTCCAGCAGAAGTAGTGCCCTTTTGTGCTTAAGTGTGTTACTGTTTTACATGCTTATGATTTTGTAATTCACACCTGTAATCTCAGCACTCTGGGAGGCCAAGGAGGGTGGATCTCTTGAGCTCAGGAGTTCGAGACCAGCCTGAGCAAGAGCAATACCCTGTCTCTAAAATAGCTGGGTGATGTGGTGGGCACCAATGGTCCCAGCTACTCAGGAGACTGAGGCAAGAGGATCTCTTGAGCCCAGGAATATGAGGTTGCTGTGAGCTATGATGCCATGGCATTCTATTGAAAGTGACAAAGTGAGACTCTGTCTCAAAAAAAAATTAATTTAGATTACCAGCTCATAAACAGGGGGCATTATTTGCGTGTGTAATCCTGTAACATAACAGTATCACACTCAAGCACAAAAGGGCATTACTTCTGCTGGACTGTGTACTGGGAAGCCAAGGAGGCCTAGAGGAATCATAGAATCACATTGAAAGAGATAGTTGTTTTGAAACTATATAAAGCTTTGGAAATTCTATTCTCAATTTTGTATCTGTTGTTCTCAGCACTTGCTATAAATAAGGGTCATCTGTAGAGCTTTCTAAAATACCCCACCCCTATGAGACCCACTTGAAAGTATCAAGCCTGCCATGTTTTTTAAGCTCCACAGATGATTTTGGTGCATCAAGAGCAGTGTTTTTCAACCTTCTTTATCTCCTGCTCACTCGAACCTATGGTTAAACTTCAGTGGCACACTTAAATTATGTTGATCAAAAAAGGGAGTAAAGGGCGGTGCCTGTGGCTCAAAGGAGTAGGGTGCCGGCGATATGCCAGAGGGGGCGGGTTCAAACCCAGCCCCAGCCAAAAGAAAAAACTTTTTTTGCAGCACCCCTAAGATCCTCTCCTGAAAATCACTGATACAGAGCTTGGGCTAAGAACTACTGCCCCACATTGAAGCCCTGAACTGTATGAAAGTAATACAACTAAGCCACACTGGTAGAATTGGAGTTGGAAGACCTGGAAATAGTGCAAACCGGCCAGCTGAGCCCCTCTGTGAAGCCCACTAGAGCTCAGGAAAGCACACTGGGAGGCCTGCCTCATCCATGGCCTGATTGTGTGCAGGAGTAGGGGACCCTGGGGTGCTGATGTCTTAAGTGAGGGACTTCACAGCAGAGCTGGGCTTTCTTCCCTCGCCCAGGGTCATTCCCACCCTGACGGGCTCGGACAAGTCTTCATTATAATGTTGAATGTGTCAAAATCATTTTTATATGTTAGAGGGATTTTTATAAGTTTGCTCTTAGGGACCTAGATGATATTCATGTTCAGTGTCATTTTTATTCTCATGCTCGGTTTCGTGTTACAGAATAAGTTCATCCAGAGACCAGGACATGGATGTGGCTATTGTGGAGCAGCTGAGAGCAGCAGACCTGTTGCAGGATCCCAGTGGGTACGCATGTCTTACCTTGGTCCGGGCTCCAGGTGTGAGCGCTGGGTAAATTGTCTCCATTTCTAAAGTAGTGATACAGACAGTTTGGGCTTAGTCTAAACACTAACAAAGACAAGCCATTTTAAATCGTATTTTTCCAAGATCCAAAAGTAAAAGAATCAAACTTCCTAGAGGGATTGAGATTTGTTCCCCCTTTCTCTACCCTTTGTAATTGGGTATGATTCTTAGAAAACAGAAGTATGATAAAAGTTTAAAGTTTAAACCCTGTATTTGTAAAATTAAAAAGAAAATTTTTCCAAAAAGGAAAGAGTTGGTACATCAAGTACTGCTATATTTATTTCTGGTGGTACTGGATATGTTAACTAAATAAAATATTCCTAAAGATGTGGATTATAGAGTAACTTTAAAATTTAAATTGGCCTTTGTCAACAATAGGCACTAGGTACAGTGGATATATTTTTTAATTTCTTAGCTAATGGTAATAGAATTCCCATGGACAAAATAATATTTTTCAGTAGGGCAATATCAGGTATCAGGTAATAACTCCATGATCTACGGAGGGAATAGACCCAAAGCGTATCCCTGGCAAACTGATATGGTCTCATAACACGGTGAACATGGGAATCACATCACAGGAAAGCTAGCGATGTCTGGGGATTTAGTGAATCATAGGGAGCCAGTGAGAATATACCACCAATGTGGTCTGGCCCTGGCAGGGCAGGTTGAGTATTGCTGGAAGACTTTAGCAATGGGATTGAAAAGCATTTCAATTCTGCAGACATAATCAAATGCTTAGAATATCAGAAGGTGTCCTGTACCTTGGGGGATATGTGAGTAAAAGTGAACAAGGCACAGCTCTTCCTTCTAAAAAGTTGAATTAGAGTGGCTAGAGATGGCCTAGAGCAGTTATGTATAAGTGTGACTGATTCAAAGATTTGAAGTGGAGGTAAAAAGTAATAGACTCCAGGGAGTGTCTGACGCCAGGAACAGGGAGGTGGCTGGGCAGGCCTTGCTGAAGGATGAGATAGTTAACTTAGGCTTTTTGTAGCTGACAATTTCAAGGAGAAAGCGAATTCTGGATAAATGAAAAGCTCAGTCGAAGGCATGAAAGAAGGGGACCAGCTTGGAAAATCTCAGGTGGAACAGAGCTTGTCCACCCTGACGAGCTTCAGTATGACCAGTGGAGTTTTTCACACCCCTGGGGCTGAGAGTCAGCCGTACCTCGGAGACGCAGCTGGGTCTGCCAGTCACCTGAGAGGCAGTGTGGAGTGCAGCCGGGCATGGCTTCAAAGGCAGTGTTAAGGATCTGAGACGTCATTCTTAGAGGGAGGCAACGGTGGTTTTTAAATATGATTCTTCACGTTGTTAATTCTCCCTAATGTTTGGCTCAAGGACTGCCTTAATAGGCACCTAATGAAAGTATATTCAAAGAGCTGAATTCCACATCCTAAACCAGGGCACTTAGTGCGAGGGAAACAGGATGAGAGCAAGCCTGTGTGTGTGTATGTGTGTGTACATGCGTGCGTGGTAGTGAGTGCATGCCTGTGCGTGCAGGCATGTGCACACGTGTGTGCATGTGTGTGTATGATTATCATGAATCATGAAGTAGCCTGGCTGAGGGAAAGAACTACGAATGAATCAGCTAGAGATTGGTTCCCACCCCAACTCCAGTGTCAGTTAACTTGGGTAGCTTATGTGACTACCCCACTCTCTGCATCTCAAGTGCCTGCCTTCTAGGGTTGTGAAGAATTGATCATAATAATATATAAACTGTTGGTGAGGAGGTAAATTGGCAACACCATTCCAAAAGTCATCCTAAAAGTCTTAAAAAAGTAAGTCTTTAGGGTGACACCTGTGGCTCAAAGGAGTAGGGCGCCGGCCCCATATGCCAGAGGTGGCAGGTTCAAACCCAGCCCTGGCCAAAAACTGCAAAAAAAAAAAAAAAAAAAAATAAGTCTTTAAAATGAATTCTGAGAATTTATCCTAAGAGACAAGAAGATGTGAACCAAGTTATAGGGGCAAGAGAGTGAGGGATAGGTATTTTTAAAAGCAAATATTTGAGGGGGGGGGAGGAAAGTTTGGGGGTACTTGAAATATATTATGGTCATCAAGAAGATGGAACCTATGTCCAATAAATTGTTTTTGGTTATATTATAGATATAATCTATCACTCAAAGATAAACATAACTTTTTAATATATTAAAATTTTAAAATAAATACGGTCAATAGAATTTAATAAAAACAAAAGTTTTACACATTTGCTAATGTCTTTTCTTTCTTACTCTTTAGATTAAGCACAGATATTATAGAAAGAAGTGTTTTAAACCTGTACCCTACAGGATCAGTAGAAGCCTTAGAATTACCGGATTCTGCACTGAAGTATGTTTACCTTTTATAATAAAGTATATATATTTTTACATTGAAGTATTTATGCTTTAAATTCCACTTCATATTTTTACTTTCCTTTTCTTGTTCCTGCAGCGGTCAAATGCAGCTGGAAACATCTCCGGAGTATGAGGTAAGGCTGTCCTTGGATTAACCAGAGCTCTGTGCAGTATTCTGCCCTGGAATATTGGCCACCATAGTCTGTAAAGACTTGTCAGGTGGTAAAACATCTTTATTAGTGAGGCCAATATTCAGATTTGTTCAAGACACATTTTTCAACTTTTTCATGCTTTTACCCTCTTTAGTTCTGCCAATCCATACCTCACCTTCCATTAAACATGAGAGTTGGCTGTTTCTACTGGTGTTTTTTAATTTTTTACTTTGCATAGTCTCACTGAATCAGGTGATAGCACCTGATACACTTTAAGAACCAGGTCTGTGTTAAGAACTCGAGGGAGGGCCATTCAATGTGGAAAGAAGTCTTTGGGCCAGATGTAGAGGCTCATGCCTGTAACCCTAACACCTTCGGAGGACTAGGCCAGTGGATCATCTGAGCTCAGGAGCTTGAGATCAGCTTGAACAAGAGTGAGACCTTGTCTCTACTAAAAGTTGATAAACTAGCCTTAAAAATTGATAAACTATTAATAGCCCTAAAAATTGATAAACTATCAATTACAATTGATAATTGTAGTCCCAGCTTCTTGGGAGGCGGAGGCAATTTGATTATTTGAGCCCAAGAGTTTGACATTGCTGTGAACTATGACACCAGGGCACTCTACACAGGGTAGTGAAGTGAGACTCTGTCTCAAAAAGAAAAAAAAAAAAAGAGACATCTATGAATTGACCATGTGAAAATAAGCTATAAACGATCTGAAAGACAAGAACAATTTGGGAATGTGTAGGAGGATTAAACTGATGTCATAAAAACTAGTAGGGGTATTTGGGGTAAGGGTGGCTTACGTAGAGTTACATGAGATGAAGGTTTGGATCCTGTGGAGATAGCAGTTTTGACATAAAACAAGATAAGCTTAGAAAATTACAGAGAAAGATTAAGTTACCCCGGTTACAGAGAGAGAAATTCGAGTTGGTAATTTGGGAATGAAACATAGGTTACAACCTATTGCATTCCTTTGAATAGGTTGAGGATGGCTAATTTAGGTACTGAGATTGTCTGCAAACCAGTATATGTGCCCCTGAGATGTCTGCACATGTACAGCTGTAAAGCAGTTTCACACTCTTAGCTCGCTAAGGCTCTGTGTTAAAGGGATTAGGAAAAAAAGAACTGTAAAAGGAAAAGCCATTTTCCCAGAGAGTATGGTTTCACTGTTAAGCTCAGCCACTTGGAATTATGTCAGGTATCGGTCCCATCTTAAAGACTTGCTAACTATGGGTAATTAGTTAACCTTTCTAAACTTAACCATCATTTTATGTAAATTGGGATCATAATAATACCTGTTGTAAAGACCAAATGAGATGATTCCAGACAAGTCTCACAACACAGAGCATCTAAATGTTAGCTGTTGGTCTACTGTGCTATTATTGCTATTGATGTGGTCTTTAGACGGAATCACTCCACCTCCTCTTCCCCGAGTGGAGACATCACTGAATTACCCAACAGTGAACGATCAGAAAGCCTTTTGTTTTAGATCGTCCTTGGACCCGTTTCTTCACGCTCTGCATTTGAGATCACTTTTGATTCTGGGCAGGCATAGTTTTTTTCAGCATCATTTTTGGAAGTAATTTAAACATAATTTAATAATTTAAATGTAAAAGATTGTGGACAAATTTCAAACTTCTATAAAACATTATAAACAACTACAGTCTTTTACCAAGATTTACCAACTATTGACATCTTACCACATTTGCTGTGCTCTTCTCTCTCTGTCTCTCTCCACACGCTCATAGTCCTTTCTCTGAAATATTTGAGGGTAAGTTTCACACATCATTGTCCATCATCCCTTACCATTTCAGGGTGTGTTTTCTAAGAATAGGATTTTATATTAAATTTCAGTTATCAACTTCATAAAGTTACCTAGATAGCATGGTCTTACCTACACTATCTGCCATCCATACTCCAAATTCGAGTCATT